TGTGGTTGTCAAAACTGTATCTCAGCAACTAGACTAACACAGTGTTCATCAGTACACTACCCATAAAAGGATCTAAGAACTTGAATATATTGATGAGTACACTGAAAATGATTACTAAAAGGGTACCCAGAAGGAAGCATCACAGCCCAGGCAGTTGTTTCCTTGCTGAAAGGACAGCTCACTGTCCACTACCTATTCTCAAGCTAGACCAAGGCATGTGTATCCCCACAGTTGAATGGATTCTGGCATGCTCACAAAGAAGAGGGCTTCCTATCATCTGGAAGCAGCATGGACATATTTGTTGCTCAAAGGATGAATAAGTAAAGTCACACCATAGAGGGAGAATCTAGACTACTGATCCTCAAGTTGATGGCCCTCTAGTGTTCCCTGCTTATTGCAGCCACAGGAGGAGAGCTGGAACCTCTTGTACTTTGGACAGAGACATGATAGTAAGCTGTCACTGTGACAAAATACCCAAAATCAGCAATTTAAAAGCAAGATATTTATATTGGCTCATGGTTTCAGAGACTGCAGTTGTTTTAGTTACTTTTCTCATTGCTGAGACAAAATCCCCAACACCCAAAGTTAAAGGAGGAAAGGTTTATTTGGCTCACAGTTTTTAAAGGTTTCAGTTCATAGTTGTCTTTAATAGGTGAATCTTTGAGGATAAAACTGTATTCATATTCCCTGACTTGTTCCCTTGACCTCTTCCTGTAAAGGCCAATCCTTCTCAGGCTTTATCCCTGAGTCCCAGTCAGAAAGACACACAGAGCCAGAGACAAAAATCTTGAGGTGGATCCTAGGAAGGCATGAGGACTCGGGGAGTCAACTGGTGATCACCTTGGTCACATAGCTCCTTCTCATGTACCAACCAGAATAGGAAAAATAAAAAGGGCCAGGGATTCTTATCAGAAAAACAGAAATTTGAGATGAACTTCTCAGAGACAGAGGTATCCTGAGCTTCTACAAGAGGAGACCATTTCTTCAAAACATAATCCACTAAAGTATTACTCCCAAGCCAGAAATCAAAACATTCCATCACCAAAGGGGATTCAGGGAGTCCTGACTAGCACCAAACCCTCAGGTTCTCATAGGGATAAATGAGTTTGGAACTAGTGACACAGCTGAACTGCATGATAGCCAGTAGTGCTCACAAACAAGGGGGAAGACAGTAACAGCGAGCAGAGGTCCTGCAGGCTTTCCAGGTATATCCTAGGGTGGTCAGCAGTACATGTGGCTGCCCAGCTGCTTCTCAGAGGGATTTGCATGGGAGAGGTGTTGGCCCATCAGACCACCTGCCCAGGAAACTATATAATTTATGATCGCTGTCCATCACTGAGACAGAACCTATGAAAGTTCTGCTCTTTATGACCATCTGTCTACCAGGTGGCTACATCTAGCAACCTATATACAACGACTACATAAATGCCGAAGGAGTATCTACCTGCCTACATTCCACTCGATTCATATGCTTAAAGAGGAGCCAGAAATCAGTATTTATGAGGTTTTTTGGATCTAACGGATGAAAGAAGGAGCGATGTGATGGCTCAGAATGACCAGCACACGCTCTAGTGTCCACAGTCCCAATGCCTAATTCAAGTTGCATAAAGTCTCAAATACATGTACTTCCTGTTACCTGAATGTTTTCACAATACAAATATCTCATCACACATACTACACACACACACACACACACACACACACACACACACATACACACTAAGGATGTGCTAGTAAATACTTAATAAAGAATCCTCTAGGGAGAAGAAAGAAATTCTTAACTTTTAGATCATGTTAGGTCACTAGTTCTATTCCAGCATGATTAATTTCACCTACAAACCTGATGCAAATGGACAAAAAATAAGCATGAAGAAATGATAAACAGCAAAAATGCCACCTGCATTCAGGACACACAAACCGAGCCTGGTTACCAACTAGATGTTTACAGAATTAAAAAATCCTTGCCACGAATAATGCTCACATCATCACTACAACATGCATACACATAGAGCACACATGTATAAGAAACCTAACAATATGTACACAACAAACAGTCTACTGGCACAGACCCTACAAATATATCAAGCATACAGTTGTCTTATGAACCACACAAAAAGATGCTTACCAAAACCCTTGATTTTACAATACACATATTCCATAATTCCTGAATACATGCACAATCTACACAGATTCTGTCTTTCCAAGCCCACACAATGAGCCTTCCACATCTCCCAGGACACATACATTATACATGCATGAATTCCAATATTCACATAGCTAAAAAATACTGCACTTCTCAAATATGTAAGAATAAACATAAACACAAGGACTGCACATTCAAGCCACATCCCTAGAATCTTCAAGGATTACATTCCAGTATAAACACAAAGAATAATGTTTGAACTCTTATATAAATACACACATCCATAAAACCCATGAGTGCACAGTCTAACTCAGATGCAGATACACACACTAAAAATAAGCACTAATATTCCATTGTAAGGGCTGTGTTCAATGCCTAGCACAAAACACAAACACATAAACATGTGCATGCACACACATACATGTAAACCTTGGTACACTAATACACACACAATTCCCACACAACAATAGACACACACAAATATTTCCAGAACCTCAATATATATATATTCTCTGAAACACTACCACATTCTACATCTCCAGGATAGAACCCCCTGTCTGTATTCCTACAACATACTCAAAGGCACAAACAATAGCATTCTCCAAACAAATATACTTTGAATACTTCAACCTCATTGCCATGAATAAATTCCCGTAATTCATGTATGTACAGATGGACATGAACAAACCAGTACATTTGCTCAAGTCTCAAACAAAAATCTCCAGCACACCATTTAAAAATACACAGAAAAGTTCTTACATTCCCCAAATTACTCCCGGCTAGTGGAAAACAATTCATGCAACCTGAAATACTAAGAAATGGGTGCATCACATACCCCTAGTACATATAAATACTACTTCCATACTCTTTTGTGTTATTATAGATTAATGATGAGGGGAAAAATTTTTTAAATTTTAAATAAAAGCCTACCCAGGATGCCTGCCAAGGCCAAGCAGACATGTCCAGCAGGCCCAGTAACAGAACACTTCTCCCTTTGTATAAACCCCTGTCTTTGCTGCCTTTGTAACTGATGACCTTGCAATGTAACTTAAATATATAAGGGGACACGTCTTCCTTTGTGTAACTCATGCCTGTTTAACTAATGGCCCTGTAATATAACTTGAGATATGTAAACTCTTTCAGCAACCCATAATGTCACTCAACTCTCTCATCACATGCGCCAAATCTGCCTATGTACCTCCCCCCTCCGTTTCCCTTTAAAAGCCCTGAAACCTGCCACTGGGAGGGGCTGACTCTTTTGGAGAAATCCTAATCAGAAGCCTACCTGTATAATAAACTGCCTCCTAAACCTCCTCGATGCCATTTCTTCCTATGTTTGGTTGTTTTCTGAAGCAATGACATCCCAATTGAAAAATATAGACAGGCCCAGAAAATATTCTTCCAAACTTCCATACCCCTTGAATACGAGTACTCACTGTCACCCAAATATTCCTACTTTACGAAACTATCTGGTATTTCTACGAAACTCAAGCACACACATATGTGCACACATCAGAGAGATGTACTATGTGCAAACTCAATATACATGGACCTCTCCCAAGCATCAAATATCTATACAATGAATTAGCACACTTCAAATCTGCAAATGTCTCCAAATACACACAGAATCTCATGCTACCTGCACGTACAAGATCACACACTTCAAAATAAAAATAACTCCTGCATCTTCCAAAGTGCAGAATCTTATTAATTTCACAGAATTGCACAATTCATCTTACCAGTCCGAAAAAATAATCATAGACCTGTCAACATACATTGAAAGATACAAACACAGGTCTTGAAGGTCAGGAAAACGAGTACATAACCACAGAGGCTGCCCTGTACACACAAATAATCCTCTTACATTTCCTAATTATATAAAACAGGGGTATGCTGAACCTTCTGAAAAGAATACTTCTTTGAAAAATCCACACGCAGGCAAATATCACCACTTACCCTAACACCATCCATGGCACATGCACACTTTTTTCTAAATTCACCATCGCACATACGCGCGCGCGCGCACACACACACACAGGTGTGCAAGTATGTGTAAAACTCCCAGCATTTAGGGAGGAGAAGCTATAGGTGAAAAATTCCAAAAGCCAAATTACAAGCAACACCAACTTCCTGAGTACACATGCATAATATAATACCCTCCAAATACAACCAACCCTTTTCAGTTGCACAGAAACAGTCATGACTTTCCCTTTATCCCAAACATCCACCCAGACACCTTCACCCACACAAGTGAATATACACATCAGATTCTCACCAGACAATTTAAAACATAACAAATTCCAAACCACGAATGAAAGTGTACATATTCTCAACACACCTCAAAAGACACAACAAACCACCCATGCCCTGTGAATTCCTACAGGCTTCAAGCAGCCCATCAACTGCATTACATTTTCAGAAACCACCACCCACACTTGTCATGACTCCCAAAATCAAAACTAAAACTTCCCCCCATCCTCAGGTACATACAAGGTCTCCCCAGCAGACCACCACACGCACACACAACACAATCAAGAGCGTGTAATAAAGTTTCCAGACATACTGCATGCGTGGAACGCAATTTAATTACTAACACAATAGACAGCTTTATTGCAAATTGCTCTCAGTCAACTGATTCTCACACAATGCTCTAGTTGACTTCCGCAGCCTCCTGCAGCCACAGGAACCTAGGCTTGCAGCCCCTTCCCGCCGCGACAGCGTCACACTGAGCAAAAGCGCGTCGTTCAACTTCGGCGGGCACTAACTAGCGCCCGGACAAATGAGCAGTCGCCGCAGCAACGGTGGCCGCTGGTCTCCTATGTGAACACAGGGAGTACGTCGCTCAGGGGCCACTCACTTTTCAGGGGCACGCGCTGCTTCTCCGGGCGCTGGATCGCGCTTTTCAAACGCAGGAGCAGAGCTCCGGGCTCCGGCCCCGCGGAGGCGGAGGACGCGGCCCCGCCCACCCAGCCCGGCGGCGGGACCCGACGGAGCCGGCCTGGGGCTGCGCCCCCGCCCTCGTCCTCGGTCACCACTGGCCGGCTTGGGAGGGGGCCGGAGAACAGGACGGAGCCCCCAAGACACACCGATGTCGATAAAGGAACAAGGGAAAGCGCAAGAACATACTGTGAAGCGCTGGGCCGGAGAACCCATTACCTCTGATTTTGGTAACGGACTCTAACCGTGGCTTGGGCTGCCTCAACCGTTGGCTACAAGGCGCACGGGCCTCTACTAAGGACATGCGCATGCGCACCGCCTCAACAGTGCTCCAACTCAGAGAGGTTGGACCGCGAGGTTCCTGACAGATCTCCTTGAACTCAGAACTAGCGCATGCGCACGAGGCACTGGAGAAAACATGAGGGGAAGCAACGAAGACCCCAGGGCCTTCTCCAAGACTTCTCTGGGATGAATCCCTGTCAGAAAAACATTGTGTGTGTGTTGTGGGGGGGATCTCCAAACAACCAAAACACGTGTTTTTTAAAATTGCAAACCTGCCACCCACGAACCTTATAAAACACTTTGAGGCATTTATCTTAAAGCACACTATGGCTTACCTCCTTTGGACTGTGTTTATTTCAAAAAATAAGTATGTTGTTTAGGATTAGTCCATTGGAAGATTCCCTTAAAAAACAGTTTTGGCAAAGAATTTCAGAGCTGGGAAGCACTTGTAAGACATGATTTGTCCTGACTGCATTCCTAGAGTTTCGCCTATGTTTTCTGTAGTAAGTGTATTTATTTCATGCACGCAGGTCTCCCGATACTGAGTCGCAATTTTATTTGTTTGTTTCTTTGTTTGTTTAGCAAAGCTATGTTAAACTTTAACCAAGAATTGGTAATCATGGTCGATTTCAGCCAACATCTCAGAAATGATTTTACTTTCTCCCATTTGATATATATTGAAAATATCGATCCCTAATTTAAAAAAATTAGAATCAATTCACTAACTTGAATTGGTAAGTTTCACAAATCTATCACTAGATCCTCTTTCTGGTAATTTGCAGGATTAATAACAGGATAATTTCAAACATTGTGTAATCCAGCACTGCCAAGATCCTCCCAGTCACCAACTCCAAAAATACAGATAAGGCTTCTCCTTGTTCTTCTACTGCTCCAGTACTGGATGAATGAGCATAAATCTTCTGAAGCTGGTGGTCTATCATCAGAGTCAGCAGTCAGTGATGGTCCTGAGCTTTTTCACAGGAAGGGTCAGAAGGCGGGTCCAAAGAGCTATTAGCTGCTCATTTCCACATATGAGCAGTGTGATGGTTAATCTTGATTGTTGTTTTCCCTGGCTTAAGTGACCCCTAGGAGATTAGTAAAGCATATTTTTGGGAGTCACTAGGGGGGTTAAGAGAGTGTGACCTTGGGACTATATTGGGTCCCTGACTCCTTCTTCTCTCAGGTGCTTCTCCTGCTCTGTGCTTCCTGGATGTCATGAGTTGAACAGCTTTCCCCTGCCATGCCCTCTGCCATGTTTTTCTCTTGGAGTCAGCCAAGCACAGACAGAAATTTTTGAAACTGTGAGCCAAAATAAACATTTTCTCCATACGTTCTCTTGTGTATTTTGTCTCAGTAGTGGAAAAGTGACTAATACAGCCAGAAGTCACAAATTATATTGGGCTAATTTGATTATACCTGCATCTGGGTCTGGTATATGGAAAAGACAACTTTTCCACAATGCAGTTTTTGCATTACTGGTCCAGAAAACTACCTAATGAAATCCTATTTAAAAATACATGATATTCCGTTGAGGTGACAGGGAGAGCAAGCCACAAATAACAAAACACTCTGACAATCAAAAGGAAGGGATTTCTGTGTTGGATCCTGTAGGATACATTGTGTTTTCTTGGTGAACAGGGGATTTCAAACAAAGGTGATCCTAAGTAAGACTATTATGAAGGAGAAGTCACAGGTCCCAGCAATGGACACTTGAAAAGACACAAGAACTGCTTCCTAAGCCATGATGTGCACACAGCAAGCCCTGAATTCCCTGACACAATCTTATTTCAAACTATTCATCTTCTTCCCTCTCTAATTTGCCCCATGATTACTTAAATATATGGTCTACATTTTGTGGAGAAACTACAATAATTTTTGCAACTGACTAATTTTTGAATTAGTCAAGAGCCTACTTCAACAGGGATGTAGGATGAGAAGAGGAGAACAAAACAAGTTTTATCGGTGAGGAACTGAAGTCAGGAGACATCAGTAAAACCACAGCCCCGGAAGTCTGAGAAATAATTTAAAAGTTGGCTAGAGTCACACAGCAGTGATGTTTTCACTGTATTATTGGAAGGGATCTTGAAGTTCTCCTGTACTCGCCAGAGCTCTTCATGGAATGTCTCTTCCCCGCTCCCTCCTTCCAGCCCAGCAGCCTCTGCCCCTCCCCCATGTAGAATGTCTGGACACCAACACTCTAGCCCTGTTGACTTTCAAACTTTACCCACTTGCAGTTGGACCGGAGTGAGCCTCTGGTCACAGGTCACTCTCTGGGTCCCACCCATCACCTTCTCACTGTGGTAGCAGCTAGAGAGTTGAAGCCAGTGTCCAAGCCTTTCGGGATGGTTTTAGAAGGAGGTAAGCTCAGAGGCTCCAGGAACATGTTATCTAACTCCCTGACACTCCTTAAACTGTTAGGAATTTGAATTTGTCACTTCCCTGGGCACAGGTGGTTGAGCTGATGTGAAGAAAATAGCGTCCAGGGCTACATCAAGGACATCTCCACTGGGAGGGATGGAAAATCTACATCAGCCTGAGACTACTCATGGGGACAAGGACTCCTTAGAAGGATTTTGAGACACTATAGGAGGAACATGGGGAGTCAATGGACAGGATAGGAGGAGAGAGATTGATCCTTTTTAGAAAGGGAGAGATGTCAAATCAACAGGTTTTATAGGCAATGGTGGGAAAATGTCATGGTGGATATAAGGATATTTTCAAGGTGAAAGTGTCAGTTCTGTGTCCTTCTATCAGGCACCTAGAACTTGTGTGTCATACTTCTCTGAGGGGTTTGACTGGAATTTCTTGGGTCTTAGTGTTATGGGATTTAAGAAACAGGAGAGAACAAATGGGAAACAGGAAGATTTTTATATTTAGATGTACTTCAGTTCAGCTGATAAAACCAAAATGACTGAGCAAAGGACAAAGGACAAGTTCTAACTTTTATACATTTGGCCAAGGCAGTTGGTCTTTGGCATGGAACTTGTGGGCAGGCAGAAGGAGAACAAAGTCAGCTTGTCAAGCTGTAACAGTTTTGTATTTTGGTGGCCCTGCTTGGACACAATAGGATGTTATAGGAACAGGAGGTTATAAAATTTCACTTACAGGGACAAAAGTTACTGCTTCATTAGGAGGCAGTGGACAGAATGATCTTAGAAAACTGCTCAGTGGACTTCTCCTTGACCCAACTGTGCAGTGAAATATCTTCTGTGTGCGCAAGGCAGGGGTTACTCAACTGCCACAGCCCAGAGCCCCCAGGCCTCTTCTCACTCAGAAAATGCTTCTCCCTCAGTCCAATTTGCAGCTGTCTTTTATCCCAGGACATCACAGCAACTTCAACTGACACAGGACTTGGACTTCTCTGAGTTGTTCCCAACTGTCATTATATTTTATCAAAACAGGTCTTCGGAGGTTCTTAAGTGTTGTGGACCTTCAGCCCTTCATTTCATGATTGACAGGAACACTGCACATCTTCTTGTCTGATGCTTCATGCACAGGGAGCATGTGGGGTGGTTTTGGTTTTCTAGAGCAGCTTCTATGATGGCTGGTTTCCATGTTAAGAGAGGATGGCAAGTATCTCATACCCAGGAACATCCTTCACTGTTATGCTAGTATTAAATTAGGAAAGCTGTGCTGGTTATTTGGTGCAGGTGTTGTGGACCTTGCTCTCCTTGATCAGGGTCTGTATGAGGTTCTACTCACCAAGGATGGGCTCTAGGCAACTTTTTTCACCTGACACCTGGCTCATGGAGGATTCATGGGGCTCTTTCCTTTGCAGTATTAGGACCCCAAAGGAAAAGCTCCACAGATAGGTTGCAGTTCCACAGCCAATTCTGACAGCTAGTAGCTGTGAACATCCCTTTAAAACTCCCAGGGCAGCCCCACAGTCACCATTACTTGGTTCTTTCTGGCCCTCTGCAGAAACTCCTGTTTCTGCAAGGACAGGTATTGAGGGAACCAGATGCCTATCTTCCAGACCTGTCCCATGGGAACAGAACCTCCAGTGTCATGGCAGGGACCACTGATTACTGGGTACAGGACTGGTCAGGATCAGTTCCCATATTAGTGTGTGTTCTGGGAGGTGGGTGGGACCTCTTACGTGGTCATCATCAGGGTTTCTCAGGGGCTAGTGTGGGGAAAGATTTTATTCTGGGGCTGTGTTATATTGTGCTTGCAAGGCACCGAAGACAAGGGTTTAGAAGGAGCGTGAGGAAAAGGAAACATCCTTTGGAGGGAGAAAAAGCTGAGGAGCTGCTTTGGACAAACAGGGGTCGAGGAATCTTAGTGACCTGGAAGCAAGCTCCTTGCTGGAGGAATTCTGAATGGGAGGAAGAGAGCATGAGAAATCACTCTGGGATGTTTGCTAACTGCATAATATCCCTGTGCACACGGCCCTGCTCTGGTGAGATTTGTCCTCTGATTCCCAGTGACTGGGGAAGAAGAGTGCCTCCCTCCTGCCATCCACTCCTCCATTCAATCTTTTCTTTCTCTCCACAGCATTGCCAGTGCTGCAGCCAGATATGACCCTGAACACTGGTGTCACCTTATCTCCTTCTTGGATCCTGCCCCCCCTGCCACCCACCCCAGTTCCAATACACCAGCTGCACTGGGAGCCACCACCACCACCCTTTGGGAATGTACCTCTTCCTCAGGGTAACCCCCTGGTGCTTTCTCCTTTCCCCGGGATACCTGTGGTGGCAGGACATGGTGGCTATGGCCTGACTAGGGCTGGGCCTTTCAACATCACTGCCCAAACCAGGACAGCAGGGAGGCCACCAGGGTCTCTGTTGACTCAGAAGGTTGTCCTCACTCAGGCTCCACTCATCAGGGGAGCCCCAGGGGTCCTGTATGAGAGTATGCAGCATCCTGCTCCCCAGGTGTTGAGAGCTCCGCCCATGACCACCATGGTGCCTGCCCCAACTGGGGTGAATGTCCATGTTGATGATGGGATGTGGCCTCGGGCCCTTCATCCTCCAGCCATACTACCAGAGCCCTCCACCACATCTGGGGTGAACAAGGTTCCACCACCATGCTGGGACTGCAGAGAGGCTGGCCTGGTCACCTCCCAGGCCAATGCCTCACCAGACCACACCTGCAAGTCTCCAAGTGTCTATGAGAACTTCCGGCGCTGGCAGCATCTCAAGACCCTGCTCCGGAGACACCTTCCCCACATTCCTGATGCGGAAGCAGTGTCCTGCTTCCTTGTGTGAGTGCCCTCCCCGGTCTCAGGAGCTCATGGGGCAGCTCCAGTGTGAGGAAGGAGAGAGAGTGACAGGAGTTTGGGATGTAGAGGAACTTGCAAGAGGGGCTGAGGGGTATGTAGCAGAGTCAGAAATATTTATGTAATGCTAGGGTAGGAAGAACACCTGATCTCAGAGACCACTGTTCCTCTTTGATGTAGCTAATGGTTCTTTTATGATAGTTATCACCATGACTCCAGGGAAACAAGATCAAGGAAGATTCTTGGTGTAACGTGAGCCACCATTTGAGTCCAGGTCTCTGACATGTCATGGTCACTCCCCTTCTATTTTCACCTTCCATCATAGACTTGTGGATTTGTGGCCCAGAAGTCACCACAACCAGGGCTGGTGGAAGGAGGTACAGAAACTTAGAGAGAAACTGACACTCATTCCCACCCTTGTTTTGGGGAACCACAGTTAGGAGGACAAGGTGGTGCAGCAGTGACACGAGGGCATACTTGGGCACACTTCTGATCCTCAGCCGCCACTGCAGTCTTCAACCCAAGCGCTCCCAGGTCGCTATGTGCACTGGCCCTGTCAGCTCAGACTGCCACACAGGATACCCCAGATTGTGAGCTGAAACCACCCACATTCATTCCTGACAGTTCAGAAGGGGCAAGTCCCAGTGAAGGGGCTGGCAGATTCTGTGTGTGAGGAGGACTCTCCCCACGGCTTGAGAAGGTGACAACCTCACCTGTGTCCTCACATGGCTGAGGACTTTGGGCTCTTCTCTTCTTCCTACAAAGGCACTAATCCCGTCCTGACAGCCCCACCTTGCTGACCATCTGACCCTCAGTGTGACCCAAGGACCAATCTCCAAATACCATCACTCTGGGGGTCAGTACTTTAACACATGAATTGTGGGGGCAAAAACGTCCTGTCCCTAATAGACAACACCAACAATGAGGACACAAAGGAAATCAGTCACCATAGCAGCACTAGTGTTGATGCGTGGTACCTGGTATGGTGTCTTGGAGACTGTCAGACTATAAGGCGTGAGTGTTGTGCCAGGGGCAGAGGTGACAGGGGTGTGCCGGGCTGGTCAGCTGGGAATGGAGGGTGATAGCAGCGGACAGTAACTGATCCTGAACAATTACAGGCCAGTGTTTCGGTCCCTGTCCCGCCGGCACCCAACCATGAATGTGGAGGAGGGCCTGCGCATAGGTGTGCGGGAATGGGACTGCAGGAGCAACTACGAGCGCATGACATTCTACGAGGTGGCTGCAGAGTGAGTCAGGGACCCTGACACTGAGTTGCAAGGACCCATGGACTGTACAGCTGAGTCCAATGGGGCTTGTGACCCACACAATGTCAGCAGGGTGTCCACTGGCACAGGCCCCCCCTGGACACCTTGGGCCTCAGGAGGCTGCTTCTCCTACCTGGAGGGCTGGGAGTTCCTGGGCTGGTGGTCACAGAAGCTCTGACCTCATTGTTCATGGGGTTTCTTCTGGCACTGGGGGCTGTGTAAGGGGCACAAGCACTACCAGGTTTGTGCTGATCCCCTCATGACAAAGAAGGGACCATCTCTGTCCATGAAAGGGACCAGATTATAACTTGAGATCCCAGAAAGGGTGGGAGAGGGAAGAGCATGGTTAGGAAAAGACAGCCTCTCAGGTATCCTAAGGACATATCCTCAGGTAGCCTGCTTTCCTGCACCTAATCTGTTCTAAACAAACAAACAAGCAAACACATAAACACACAAACAAATGTAGAAACAGGAAAACAAGCCACAGAGGAAAGTAACCTAATCTTCTCTGCTCAGTTCTCACTTTCTCCTAGGCCCTTGTCTCCCAGGACATCATTCTAGGATTCATAGTCCCAGCTCAGGATCCCTGGATGGGGCAGGGACTCCTGGGGATCTCTGCCATAACTTATTTCCTGCCCAGCTTCTGATGGCTAGCTCCTGTTTGTGGCTCTGTACAAGGCCAGGATAGACTTGAAAGGGGTCACCTATGGGCTTGAGGGTCATCTAGGGCTGACTAGGCCAGTCCACCCAGGGCACTGCTCCCCATCCCGTACAGCAGCTCCAGCCTGGTACCATTAAGATGTGGGGCTTTGCCTCCCTCTTGGCTCAGTCTGTGCCTCTCCACACCCCAGGTTCATGGAGTTTGAAGCTGCTGAAGAGATGGAAGATCCTAGATTACAGATGATGGGACTCCCTGGCCATCCATGTCCTGCCCCACCTAGGCCAGAACCTCCCAGGACCCCAGTTCCTGAGGTTTTCCAGCAGCCAGGTAGGCCTTCCCATGTTCCCACAAGGACCCATGGCAGAGGCCAAAGAGGGCAGAGGGAAGCTGTTGTCCCACATCTGTTTGGTTTTCAGTTGGAGTGGGGTATTTGTTTTTGAAAGTAGAATATCCCCCAGAGCCCTTGGTCTTGAGCTGGGTATTGATTAAGCCTGCAAGATCCAAACCCATCATCTGCCCAGGACTTGGCTGGGAAAGTAGCTGACCTTTTAGTGATTCTACAGCAGCTCCTATGTGACTGTCTCCACATTCCACCTCATGCAGAGTCTCCACTCATGGGTTCTGAGGTCAGGTTGTCCCGGCCCACACTGGATGATATTAGGTCCCACAACACTGCTCTCCTCACTGGGTCTGGGGTGTAGCTGAGCCTCTATTCTCCTCCATTCTAGTGTGCATTCTCAGACAGACAGACCCCAAGGCTCAGGCTGCCTGCCCATCAGCACGCAAATGCAAACAGTCACAGGACCCTCAGGTGCATGATGACATCCCTCCTGAAGCCGTGAGGGAATACATAGACACTATGGACTGGCTGGAAGAACATCATCTCTTGGCCATGGAAGAGCCTGATGAAAACCAGGAAGAGGAGCAGCAGCAGGAAGAGGATGAGTTATACCCAGACCCGGATCTCTTGAGTTACTGTGATGAGCTATGTTCCCAAGAAGACTTTGTTACCAAGGTGTGCTGGGGCTGGAGATCTGGTGTTCTTAAGGATTTCAGGAATAACATCACAAGCCTTTGGAATTTAGCCTGATACCTGAACAACCGGGCAGTTTCCCTCTGTGTGCAAGTGTGCAAGTGTGTGTGTGTGTGTGTGTGTAAGCATGTGCACTCACAAGTGTCTCATAATGAATGTGTGTGCCTGGGTACATGAGTGTAGTTGATGGTCATGATGATTAACAACCCCATGGTGTGGACAAGAATAGGCTGGGAGTTTCTTCCTGTTTCTCCTGGGCTTTCCTTTGGCTTAGAGTCGCTCCTTACCAAGCACACTCATGGTTTCCTCTCCTGATCCAGGTGGAGGCCATTATCAACCCTCAATTCCTGGTAGAAGCAGAATCTACAGACTTAGAGAGGGACATCATCTTGGCTGTAAGGCAGGTGCTAGAAGAGGAACACGGACTCACTCCTGAGCAGGTAGGCCAAAGGCATGAGGGACACCAGGTGAACAAAGGATGGAGGGACACCAGGAAGACAAGGACAGGGACACCAGGATGACCAGACAAGGTTGGAGGGGGCAACAGGCAGGCAAGGGAGAGGGGCACCAAGTAGAAGAGGGGAGCACAAGGGAAGAGGGAGACAAGTGACAGAAGGACACTAGGTGGTTATAAAGGAAGGACATCAGGTAGACAGGGGACGGAAGGACACCAGGAGGATCATCAAGATGAGGAGGGGACCCTGGACACCAGGACCTCGTGATTTTGTCCGGCCCTACCCAGCTGGGAGTTGCTGCCTTCTACAGAGGGGCTGCACCCAGATGGGGGATTCGCATGGGGACAGGAAGAGAGGAGACCAGAGAGTGAGGAGGGCCGAGGGTGCAGACCTGGAAGGAGGCCTTGTGGGGTGGTCTCAGAGCCTCAGCCTCTGTCTCTGAAACCAAGATGGGTGAACCACCAGCGCTTTCTCCTGTCCAAATACCCTCACCCCCATCCTACTAGCCCTCTTTTTGCCTGGTGCAGACCCAGCAAGTGCCCATTTCTTCCTGCAGCTGGTGGAGAAGCGCCTCCTGGGCTCCAAGGCAAAGGGAGGTGTGTGTAGGCCCTGGAGCCGAGGTGCACCCAGATCTGCTGCCCGCCAAATTGCAGAGCAAGATGACTGTGATTCCAAGCTAAAGGTCAACAAGGAGACCTGCCCCACTCCAAAAGCTTCCCAGGTCCTTAAGAGATGCTGGGCCACAGATGAAGAGCCTCTGGGGCCTGAGATCCCTGCTGTCCTGCACAGGCGACAAAGCTATGTTCCACTGGGCCACTCTGGTCCCAGCGCTTTTCCCCAGGACCTGGCACCCAGATGTGCCCTGGGCCTCAGAGGAGCCTTTCCTACTGTGGGGCCACAGGAGCCACTGTCTGGCCCCGGTGAGGATGAGGGGGACTTCTCCAGCCTGTCCTTCCTCCTGGCTTCCCCTCGCCAGCTGCTGCCCTGGGAATGGCCCCATATCCCAGGCCCTGACGTGGGCCTCCTCAGCCCTGAAGGTCCAACCTCCCAAGCCTCACCTCCCCAGGAAGGAAGCCTCAGCCCTGACTTCCCTCCACCTGCCAAGTCCAAGAAGCGAGTCCTCACAGGAGGTTCAGCTCCTGTGGGAAAGGTGCCCTGCCCAGGGCCTTCCTGCATTGGCTCTGGAGGGCAAGATTTGGCTCAGGGGCTGGTTCCACCCTCATGGCCTCAGAAGGGGAGGTGTAAGAAATTAGGCTCCCAGAGGAAAAGGAAGAGGCACTGAAACCATAGGATTGGTGGGCAGACTCTGGGGTGCTGGTCCCTCAGGTGGGCCTTGGCAGATTTCACTTTGGCTGCATCCTGCACCCCACGAGCCAGAGGTCCTTCCTCACTGAGCTCTGATGCAGCTGCTCTGGGACATGAGAGGTGACTGGAGCGGGAGGGGTGGGAGGGAGGAGCCTGCCTGGGGGGTGGTGGGGGCTGTTCATTGGCAATGTAAATAAAGATGACTTGTGGAAAATGCTCTCAGCGTTGCTGCGTCCTGTGTCAGGCTTTGTCCCCTCTGGGGAGTGAGGACAGCAAGCAGGGAAGGACCTGGTGTGCCAAGCTCCAGGGTGTACACGTGCCTGTCTGAGGACTTCCTGGCACAATGGGGCCCTTCTTCCCACTGCTCCTGGCTGCAGACAGGCTGAACACTTCCTGGAGTCCCCTTCACCACCCCACTCACAAGGCTTCGTTTTGTTTAGCCCTTCTGTGCACATCCTCACTTTATCCCCATCCCTTAAAAGTCCCCTCAGCCCTCTCCCATGAACCAGTGTGCTAGCATGGAGCCTGCAGCCCGCAGTTTTCTTAGGGACCTTCTCTCTCCTTCTGGAAAGGAGCGCAGAAGGGAGGCTGGACCGATGCTCTGCTCTGGCATGGCCTTCCTGAATGGGTGGTTTGACCAGAGCGCAAGGCTTTAATACTCCAGGAAGAAGCCACCACGTCTTGGGGAAACTTCACCTGATAACACCAGCAAGGTCTAATGAAAATGCCTTCTTTCCTGACAGTCACCAGAAAGGCTTGGATCCTGGGGACACCCTATTGGAGCTGTGCTGTTATTCAAACTCCAAGTTGCAGGCGGTCCTCCAGGTCTCTGTGCACTGGGCAGGAGTGGTCAGAGTCACCGGTTTGTGGGAACTTGGTCAGGCTGTCCTGCCAGGGTGGCCAAGTAGCCGAGACACCATCTGACCTTAACATCTGAAAAGTTTCTACTTCAGATTCTTTTCTTTTTAAAATTTTGATGTTTATTTTTTATTTCCTGATTGTAATTTCTTTTTTAAAAAAGTTACTAGGACATCTTTTTAGTAAATAATAATAGCATTTATCATGGGGAATTAGTACACATACATAACCTATTTTAATTTTTTTATTCTCCCCTTCTCCCTCTCTCCATGTCTTGGTCCTTTTCCCTTTTGTAAAAGTTCTACTTCCCTGCTTCCTATTATCTATGCTTAATTTGCTCTTTAATTTATTTATACTTTAAGTTTCTGATATGAGAAACCAATGCAATATTTAAAGCTGTATGTCTGATTTAATTTAACCTTATAGTCTTAAGGTGCACCAATTTTTCTACAAATAATTCAAGTTTATCCTTCTTTATGACAGAGAAATAATCCCTTGTACAGAAATAATACATTTTCTTTTGCAATTCATCTTCTGATAGACATTTAGACTGCTTCCAAGATATAGCTATTATGGATTGTGCTGCTATAAATGTAGAAATATATGTTATCACTTTAGTATCATGTCTTGGGCCGGGGATATAGTTCAGCACCACAGTACCTGCCTGGCAAGCACAAGGTCCTGAGTTCAGTTCCCAGAATAAAAAAAAATACTGTCTTTTAAGTCTTTCAGGAAGACAACCTAGAAGGGGAAGAGTTGGGTCAAATAGAATTTCTGTTTTTAGTTTTTTGAGGAATCTGAAAACAACTTGCCATTATGTACTAATTTATATTCCCACCAACAATGCAGAAGAGTTCCTTTTTCTCCATAGCCTTCAGATTATTTTAAAAGAATAGTCTATAAATACATGTGCATGTATATCCTCCATTTAAACATTAGAATTCTGTGGTTATTTACACAATTTGTAACCGCTGCTGCAGCAAATATAGTCATAGAATTCTGAACAACTGGAATGTTTATTTCATCTCAGAAAGGAATTACCTGACATTCAGCTATCACCTCCTGTCTCCCTATCTATGCCTCACCATTATGCAATTGCTAGTTTACTTTCTCACTAATCTGTGCCTAGTTTACTGTTCTTCCCATTCACTTTGTTATGTACAAGTATGGTGCTTACACATTCCATTTCACCATGTGTTATTAAAACATGCAGTCTTAATGGTCACAGTTGAAAAATATTTATTATTTATTTATTTAATTAGTTAAAGCTGCCAGTGTGGTCCTGAACACTTGGGGAATTTCCTGCCTCAGCCTCCCAAATGTGCCCCCTCCCACTGACCCACTCGGACACCCACTGGTGTCCTGCAGCTTGACTCACAACTCCCTGGGGTTCATACAGCTCCCAAATGGAGGATATACATTCATAATGCAAATGTATGAGAGTGATAAATATAATCACTACTGCTGTCCTGTGATGCCAGTGTCTTAATTCATTTGAAGGCAACAGCAGTTCTCCAACCACTACTTTTGTCACTTTAGTGGAGATGACAGCATAATTGTTCCAGGATAAATTCCACCTGTGATCAAGCACAAAAATCGTCTTCAGTGATTACTGGGTGCTGACACCAATACCTGACTAGGTAGTGCATCTCGAATATATAACTCCTTACCAACAACACTCCAGTTAAAAAACGGACAAGTGACCTTAAGATGCAATTCACCATTAAGGACATATGTTTGGCAAATATACCCTGAAAAGATGCATAACGTCAAGAGCCATCACCACACTGCAAATGAAGAACCCAGTGAGAACCTTCAGACCCGCAGGCTTTTCGCCGCAGCCTAAATGTGCCCCCTCCCACCAACCCGCTCGGACATCCACTGGTGTCCTGCAGCTTAACTCAGTCTGACACCGATCCACTGGGGCTCATACAGCTCCCAAGAGGAAAGGGTCCGTCCCCCAAGAAATCTTCCCGCCAAAAGACAGCGGCCAGTTCCGGGCTGTCACCAGGACTTCCGACCAAGTGACAATGCTGAGTCTTCTGGCTTGGCCGCTCTTGGAGTGCGTTACTTTGGAGCTGCAGGGCTCCTGTCACCCTTCTGTCCCTTTTGGGAACAGCGTCGCAGGGATCCCACGAAGGCTGTGTCTTCCTCTCCACGCTCGTCCGCGGTCTCCGGACAGATCCAGAGGAGCGGGGAGAAGCTACTCTTCCTGGCCTGCCCCCTGCCGGGGCCCAGCGCTGGGGAGGCGAAGAGGCCCGGGGCCCTTGCTCCGCGGAGCGGGGCGGGGCTGATCGAGGGATCCAGGGATTGGAGCCGCCTCTCACCGCTGCCTGGCTTCTGCCTCCTCGATCCAGGCTGCCCTGCGGCCTAATTCCCTTCTCCTCTTTACAGACTGGTATTCAAGGGGCGAGCTACTGCAGTTTGTTTAAACCCCTGGTTCTGGAAGGACAGCCGGGGACTTGCCAACTGGAGGCTGGCAGCAAAAAAGCTGCTGTGAGCATTTGTTTCCGAGATCCTGAACTCGTCAGTCTTCCTCTGGAGGAGATGCTGAAGGGCACAGTGACTGAGTCACACTCTTGTGCTTGCTTATTTAGGAGGAAGCTTCCAAGTGGTTTTCCAGAATGCTTGGCACATTTTCCCTTATCCCTGGCAGTATAGAGTGATCCAGTTTCCTCACATGCGTACCAGCGTTCAGTCTTGTCACGATTTCTCACCTTAGCCACTTCTGATATATGGATGAATGAAATGCCACTGTTGTTTCGATTTTTCTAGTCAGTGTGGTGTTGAACATTTTTCCATGCTTATTTGCCATCTGCATATCACTTCTGGTGCAGTGACTGTGCATTTTTGTTCATCTTCCAAGTGCAGCTTTTTTTTTGTACTGTTAGGATTTGAGTGTTTTATACATCCTAGATACAAGGCTCTTGTCAGACACATAATTGTAGATATTTCATACCTGTAGATGACTTGTCTTTTCATTCTTTTGACAGTGTCTTTCACAGAGAAAATGTTTCTAACTCTGGTAAAGTCAAATATATCAAGCTTTCTTCTTAAGGATCATAGTTTTGTGTTAGTTTTAAGAATTTTGGGCCCAACTCTAGGTCCCAAAGATTTTCATCAGTGTTCTACAGCTCTACGTTCTTTCACTGAAGCCCATGATCCAGTTAGAGTCAGTTTTGTACAAGGTGTGAAGTTTAGGTTGAACTTTACGCCTTCTCCTCTTCCTCCTTGCCTTTGCATAGTCATTTATTCCACTTAAGGATGTCTATCTTTCTTCGATTGAACTGATTTTGTTTCTTTGTAACGAAACAGGCACATTTATGTGGGTTTCTTTCTGGTTCTCTATGTGCTCCATTGATCCATGCATCCAGCCCTCTGCAAACATCACACTGTCTTGATCACTCCAGTAAGCTCTAACACTGGGAATGGTGATTCTTCCTATCTTATTTTTTTGTTCAAAATTATTTTGGATTTTCTGAGGTCTCTCTCTTTTCATATATATGTTAGGCTATTTCTACCAAAAAACTTGCTGGGATTTTATAGGAGTTGCATTGATGTATAGCTTAATTTAGAGAGAATTAATATCTAAATGATATTGATTTTCTAATCCATGAGCATAATATGTCTCTTTAAGTGTTTGGGTCTACTTTTATTTCATCAACACTTTATAATTTTTGTTATACAGACCCTACTTATGTTTTGTTAGATTTAGATCTAAGTAAGTACTTATTTTCTTTGAATCATTGGTGAAGTGTTCTGCATTTTTAGTATTTCAGTCTCCACCTGGTATCAAATTGTGGTAATTTTGTAGGAATTTATTGAACTCATTAAGACTCTAGGAGTTCTGCTGGTGTTTCTGTTTTGGTTTGGTTTTATTTTTAATATTCCCTGGTGTAGGCAATTACATGTGCTGTCTGCTGTCTGCTAACAGAAGTTTGCAGTTAACTCATGGGAAGCACCTTGAGTTAAGTGTTAGGAGCTCTGTGGTCAGAGGCAGCTAATGATGGATCACAGGCAGACCCTAACTTACAATGGTTCAACTTATAGTTTTCCAACTTTATGATGTTGTGAAAACAGTGAGTGTCAGTAGAAACCTTACTTTGAAAGTTGCTTCTTTCCTGGGTTAAAAATGTGCAGTACAGTTCTCTCTCATGATGCTGGGCCAGTGTCAGGAGCCCCAGCTCCCAGTCACCTTGTGATCCTGAGGGGAAATGATGAACTCCATATAGTGTACTGTGCTGCCAGGATATTCGGGATACAGATGTTCACTAAATCACATGGGATATTCACCATTTTGTCATAAAATAATTTTGTATTAGATGATTCTTCCCAGCCTCAGGCTACT